GCATCACACTGATGAATGTTGATCATGTGACTCTGCATCACACTGATGACATCATACCAACATACTGCAGATTTGCACCATAAATATTAATGCTCTGAACTTCCAGATCAATGTGATACAATTCTGGATGATAACATCCTTCGGCTTATTTTTTTAGTTTTATAACTAATGGTAACAGTGTCACATTTACTTTTTTGTTTTGATTAAACTAATTATTTTTTATGGTTTTAATGAGTCTATTTTTAAAATGTAAGGAGTAGAAATTAAAAAGCTGCCTAAACAATAATGACTCCAGTAAAGTATAGATGGACAACATTTCTATTCCAGCTATATTAGCTAAACAGCAGCAGCAGCTGGAGGATCTGGTTGAATTGTTTCTGTAAAGTGACCTGAGATGACATGTTGTGAATTAGAGCTCTAGAAACAAACTGAATGAAATGACTGTTTATTTAAGAATGTTTGTTGATTTAGATTTTTAAATTTTTAAAATAATAATCAATAATAATATTGTAGGCATTTTGTAATATATTAGTCATGATCTTGGCTCTGATGACTGACTTTATCATTCACCTGTCTAACTCTGCCTGGTTTCTCTGATACACCTGCTCCTGAATGTATTTAAGCTGCTCGTTTCCAGTCATCTAAGCCAGATTATTTCTCTTGAGCCAGTGGTGGGAGTATGTTTAGCATTACCTGAGTGTTTCTGATGACCTAATCCCGACCTGTTCTGCCTCTCAGCCTCTGAGCCTGCCTGTTCCTGTTCTGTTTTTCTGACCTGTCCTCAGACGCCTGCTTGTTCTCTGGGGCTGCAGCTTCTGGGTCACTCTGGGCGGCGCCCGCCTGTCCTGCTGGCAGCCCAGCAGCTGGATTTTACCTCAGTCTCTGGGCACGGACTGAACTTGTAAACCAGGTTAGTGACTCACGTTCATAATCTTCCTCCGATAGATTAACGTGGTCACTAACCCATGCTTCCTCTTTCCAGAGTTTGCTGTGATAGCGGCTATAGCTGCTGCTACTCTCATCCAGTTTTTAAACCTTGTTTTAGTGTAATCCGACTGTCTGTCTTGTCTGATTAGTTGGTCCTTGGTTCTGAGCCGTGACAGTAGTTCTGATCTCCTTTATTTTCAGATCAGGTCAGTCAAACACTCACACAGATGCGTTTGCACATGTTACGCTGTGATGTTGAAACCCAGCATTGTCCGTTAAAGGAACCTAAACCTTTCTCTGCTTTCTGTGACACTGAAACTCTGTGTTTTTCAAACTGATTTCACTGAATTGTATCCCAATAAAGAATCATCATTTGGTCATCAGAGACCCCCCCCATCAGGTAACGTGGAGCTGCAGGAGCACCCAGAGCTGCTCTGAGGAGCATGAAGCACAGGATCATTTCTCTATGGTGGGAGCCTCTAAAATCCTCCTTTTGTTAGGAGCCTCCTGCTGACCATGGGCTCCATCTGTTTGGGTCGGAACCGTCAGATAGCGGCAGCTGAGACGCCTCATGAGGACCGCCTGGTTCAGACGGGTAGGTCGGTCCAGTCCTAACCCTTAGCTTGACTAAGTCTGCTGAAAGAGGAGAGCTACTCCGTGGTTTTCATGTCGGTGGTGCTGATTGGCTGATTTCTTTATGATCTGATTCAATAGGCAGAATGTTCAGGACTTTCAGAGACGACTTTAAAGATGTTTCCACTTGTTATTCTGCATCTTTGACAACAAACAAAAGTTTGATTGATTTTCTGATAAAATGTTGGTTTGAATGAAAATGTTTTGTGATTTGATGCGAGTTGAAACGTATCGTCTCTCAGCTCTGCTCACGTCTCTCTACTTGTTTCTGGAAAACCTTTTGACAAACAAAGAGCTGAATGTATTATGGAAACACTCGCTGCTGCTGTGGCCCCATCATCATCTTTAATCATCTCTCCAGTTTTCTGAAGAGAACAATCGACAGACAGCCGACCAATCAGAAGGCAGCTGCTGCCATGAGGGCTTGTTTACAGAAATAATTGCTGCATTAAATCAGCACAGGAACATGAGTCGCTCTAATAAATTTGTCTAAAATGTTTATTTTTTGTTTTCTCCACTTCTCAAACCAGCAGGCTCTGTGCAGCCAATGAAAGCTGCAGAGCAGCTACAGCAGCCAATCAGGGAGAGGCCCAGTATCGGGAGGCGGGCTGTGAGA